GAGGGGCGAGAACAGTGAGTGGAGGGGGTGAGGCAAGGACAGGGAAATAATGATGGAGTACCTCAAGGTTTGATGCAAAAACTCATGATCGCACCGGCTCGCCTGGTGCGTCTCAGCCTGGGTCAATGATGCAAAAGCAGTGCTTAAAGGTTATTGATGCTTTTCGTGAGTTCTCTTTGACGCAATAGCAACTTCCGGTCTGTCAGGTCAATGAAGTCAACATAGACAACTGACACAGCACTGAACCAGCAAGTCACAAACTCCAGCTAATGGGGCACCAAGCGATTTCGTTACAGCACGAAATAGTGAAAAATGCATGAACTTACCAGCCAACCTGGTGAGCACCGCAACTAACTGCACTTGCGTAAGATGCAATAATGAATCATTTGTGAGCGTGAGCGCGTGAGTATATGGGTATGTGAGTGGGGTATGTGTGTGCGTTGCTCTCAACAGCGCTGCGAAATTTGACCAGGCGGGAACGTGCAAACATGCTTTTTGCAGTATTTAGTGCTGCAGTAAGATAACCCACTTTGTGGTATGCTGGTCCTCGAAGTTCGGGAAGTTAACTGTGCAAAGTACGTGGTACTTGGACAGGGAACATTTCGTTAAAATTTGGGCTTTTCGGCTTTTCTGATTCTTGAGTGGGCAATTTTTACGCCAAGACATTTCATGAAACCGTACATGAGAACCACTTACACCTGGGAGCTGAATTTGATATCTTTAAGTTGTACTGAGGCTGAAAACATCTTGTTAAAATTTCAGCCTTGTTAAAATTTCAGCCTCCTAGCTTTTCTGCTTTTCTGGTTCTGAAGTTAGCGATTTTTCCGCCAAAACTTTCATGTGCTTGTACAGGTAGCTCAGACGTGGGTGAAGTTTGGTACAATGGTCCTGAGGTGGCACTTGGTTGGGGAATCCGTTGGCAAATGTTAGCGCCGGAGCCTGCTTGGTTGCCGAGTTGAAAAATTCGGACAGACGCACACACGCACGCCGGGGTCGTCGCAATATGCGTTTTTGCATTTGCATATATGCAAAAACGCATAAAAATGGGGTTATTGTTGAACTTATGCATCAAATTCGGAATTCGCGATGAAACTGAAGTAGTACTCTACTGCATTCCCTTGGAGTGTTTTCTTCCCTCCTGAGTGCTGTAGTTCATAAGCATCAGAACAACGAATGGCACATCATTATTTTCAAAACCAATTCGAAAATAAGATCAACTACAGCGTCGATGGAGGGAGCGATATCGCGATCGACGTGCGGCCGAATATGCCACAAGGAAACAATGGAAGTAACACTGCACAGTTACGCACCAGGATCATTTGGTTTAGTGGTACATGAGCAGTGTCCTCGACCTGGAACGTCTTCTGGCCATTTGAAGCGCCAACCAGTCTTCATATCATATATTGAAAAAAATTCTCCTGCCGAAAGGTTGTTTTGTTAAAAAGCTGCTGAGTGTTTTTTTTTTTAATATTTTAATGACACTATTTCTGATCAAAATCTAATTTTACTAAGGATAAATTATTCTTTTCAACGGGGCCAAAATTATTCATAACTCATGTATAATATTTACCTCTGCTCGCGGAGTATGTAACCAGAGTCTGGTTCCAACTTCGAAAAGGACCTATTTTGGGTGCAGAGTATGCGATTAACTACTAACGCACATCTCCACTTAATGGCGGGTTGGAAGATTTCAAGAGATTCGCAGTTATATAAGCCGAAGAACAGCACAAACAACGGGGGAATGTAGTACACCTAGCTTTAAATTAGGAAATGAACAAAAAAGTAGTGAAAGTGGAGGCAGCCAACAGGCTATGCACTTCAGCCACAGAAAACATGAGGAAGTTGCCAGATACGTTAATGGCGCAAGAGAATACCAATCGAAGTACAAACATAAGCAGTAGTTGCAAACTTCTCACACATTTCATAATATGAACAAGCGCGAATCAAAAATCACTGGTAACGCGCAGCAGACGGGTCCGTCCGATCATGTGTTTTTGCAGTATTTCGTGCTTTAGTAAGATCGTTTGGGATCTCAGTAGCTAGAATTTGTGACGTACCGGACTCCGATCTTCAAAAAGTTAATTGTGCAACTACGTGGTACTTAGATAAAGAATATCCCGTTAAAATTTTAGTTCTCCAGTTTTTCTAGTTCTCAAACTAGCAACTTTCTCGCCAAAGCTTTCATAAGCCCGTACGTGAGGATATGCACACCTGGAGGCTAAATTTGAAATCTTTGAGTTCTATGTGGACGAAGAACATTCTTTTAAAATTTCAGCTGCCTGGCTTTTCTGGTTCCCGCGTTAGTGGTTTTCCCGTCAAAACTTTTTCCACGTAGTTGCACGCGGAGCCTAGATGTGCCTGATGGTTGGTACCGCAATCCTGGGTGGCACCTGATCGGAGAACCCGTTGGCAAACTTTTGGCGCCAGAGCTTTCTCGATTGCCGAACTGAAATACTTAGGCACACACACACGCACACACACATACATACATACATTCACGGGGCTGTGCGTGGGTACCAAGCATACCCGGTGCCTGGGTTTGAGCTCATTAACACCTATTTGGATGGGGAACATTTCTTTAAAATCCCAATCCCCTAGTTTCTCAGATTCCCGAGTTAGCAACTTACCCGAAAAAAAATTTCACGGGTCCGTACGTGACTACCGCGCATACCCGAGGGCTGGATTTGAGCTCATTAATACATGCATGGACGGAGAACCTCGCCTTAAAATTTCAGCTTTCCAACGTTTCTGGTTCCCGAGTTAGTAGCTTGCCCGTAAAAAATTTGACGGGCCCGTACGTGGGCGCCACGCAGGTAAGAGCGCCTATTTTGAAGATGATGGCCCGTACATGCATTTAGATTAAGTTACTAAAATTTCAGCCCTGTAGCTTTTGTAGGTTTCGAGATGAAAAGTCGGTACAGACGAATACACAGACACAAACACACAGACAACGTCTTGTCGGTATGCGCTTCCTGCATTGCATAGCTGCAAAAAACGCATAAAAGAGTGGCGGAACCAAAACTTAAAAGACTGGAAATGACTGTTGCTGTTGATACTAGTTGCTACACACCCCTCTTCCAAATTTTGTCCGGGATTGCCAACAGAACCGGTGTTCAGATCATGGAGCCAGTAAGTCGGCTCTAGCTGGTTTGATCCAAATGAACTAATGCGTCAGCCCTCTCGAATCGAATACTACATCTCAAATTTGGGTTATTAAACCTTTAATTAAGTTGGTTAACAAAGCCCGTGTTAACGAAACGATATCTAGCAACAAAGCGAGTTGGGCCTGTTAAGCACACACATTAAAGCAAAACATAGGCCATATTCCGTTTTGTTGCTCTGCAAGCAATTCATGATGGCTTTATTAATGACGCCTAATGAAGAAGGTGCGATTGTTGGAAGAAAAGAAATGGGCGGAAGTGGCAGATTAAGCTTGCACATTATTAGTTAAAGACCCAAAAAAAGAGGAATATGAACCGTCTCCTAGACATGAATGCCGCCGCCTTTATGACATTGGAAGCGTTTTAATTTCATTGCCCCTGGTCAATAAAGAAACAAAGAAACAAAAATTTAATTGATCATGGGCTACTGAATGTTGTCCGCTCAGCGTTGAGCACCATATGTAGTTCCTGCATAAGGGCGGTCTTCCGACAATACTGACCAGTATTGTCTTCCGACAATACTGACCAGTTGTAAACCGACCCTAAACGAAACTTACAAAATTTTCTACACACCAAAAACAAAGTCTTGGGACCTCCGGTGTCAATAACTAGTGAGAGTAAAAAACAGCTCATTGCTCTTACTCCAATGCTTGCCCCTTAAACAGCCACTCAGTCAGTACCATATCTTTCAGTCTCGAAATTTAGTCACGAAATTTGTATGCTACTCTGCAAGCCATTTGTTCTGTAGAGATTGCAGAAGTGGAGTGCTGCAAGTTGGTGATCGCATCCTCACTATCAACAGCTGGAGCACCATGAGTGGCAGTGCAGAAGAAGCAAATCAAATCCTGAGACAATCTACAAATCCGCTCACGCTAACTGTCGAATTTGATGTCATTGGTAAATTTTTTTGACCACACGTTAAAACTGTATCCACCCATTCTAGTCGTTTGCTGGGACCCCAAAAAATAAGTAGCAACGCGCACCAGACTAACCGGTACGATCATTCGTTTTGTGCAATTCAGTCTATCGAACGACTGCCTATTAATGATTTTCATTGCTTTTTACTTTAGTCTATGCAAAAATAGTGGAAACGCTGAAAAATATTTAAAGATTTCATGCAACTGCGCATGAAAGTTGAATTTGAAACTTCGAAGGGCGAATATCATTCCATCATTCCCGAGTTAGTAGTTTACCCGCCAAATTTTTTCGAGGCCGTAGGTGATACTCAAAAGCGAGAGAACACTGAATTTGAATAGGTAAGGTTGAGCGTGGGCAAGGGTCATTACCCTAAAATTTCAGCTTTGTAGACTTTGTGGTTCCCGAGGTAGTAATTTACCCGTAAAAACTTTCATTAGTCCGCAGGTGGTGCCCGAAAGTGCGAGAACGCTGAATATGTGTTTGCAAGATTGTTCGTGGGCAAGGGGTCACAACCCTAAAATTTCACCTTCGTAAGCTTTGTAGTCTTCGAGGTAATTTTTTACCCGCAAAGGCCCGTAGGTGATACCCGAGAGTGCGGGTGCGCTGAATTTAAGTAGACAAGGTTGAGCGTGGGCAGGAGGTCATTACCTAGCATTTCAGCTTCCTAGACTCCGTGGTTCCCGAGATAATAAATTACCCGTCAAAAATTTTCACGAGGCCGTACATGTTACCCGCGGGTAGTGGAAAGCTGAATTTAAATTTTCTTGGTAGCACATGGGCGGGGAACATGCCCACAAAACTTAAGCCTTCTAGCTTACTTGGTCCCCGTGGTGATAGTTTTACCCGGAAAAGCTTTTACGGAGCCGTACGTGTTACTCGTGGGGACGGGAAGGTTGAATTTAAATTTTGCCGCGTCACGTTGGTGGTGAACACTATACTAAAATTTCAGCCGCCTAGCTTTTGTGGTTCTCGAGTTGAAAATGCGGGACAAAATATGGGACACACACACACACACACACACATACGCAGACAACCCCGTGACAGTATGCGTTTTGTACTTCTGTTACACAGCACAAAACGCACAAAAAAAATAAACCCTTCAATTTGCTGCTTCACAACTAAAACGCCACACCTTGGCCAAAATTGTCTATCCTTGAAATAAATGCTACTTGTTCCTTTTTCCTTTCAGATTTGAAGCTGACGGTTCTGTTTTTGCATTTTATCACAATTTACATTTCGGCTGACTTTGCATCATCAAACTAATTTAATTTTACTCATGTGATTTTACTTCTTTCGTTCATTTATTCATATATTTGCTCCCAGTACGAACAGTTTGGAGCTGCTGAGAGCACCGGACGAGACTGTCTCTCGTGGGCATACAGCTGGATCGACGCATTCAGAATGGGCAAACAGTCACTACTAGACAAACCTAGGCTGGAACGCACCAGGCGGGCCGGTGCGATTATGCGTTTTTGCACTTTTCGTACCGTAGACCCAGGCTGGAACGCACCAGGCGGGCCGGTGCGATTATGCGTTTTTGCACTTCTCGTGCCGTAGCAAGAACGCAAGGAGAGTGTAGCTAACCCTGTGAAATACTGGCCCTCGAAGTTCGGAAATTAATTGTGCAGCTATGTGGTATGTCAGTGTAGCTAACCCTGTGAAATACTGGCCTTTGAAGTTCGGAAGTTAATTGTGCAGCTATGTGGTATGTCAGATGTAGATGTCGACTTCAGTGATCCGACAAATGGAAAATTGCTGGTCCGCAAAAAAAGGCCACGCTAGAAGAGTTAAATTTAAAATTTTGGTCGCACATGAACGGGGAACATACCCTTAAAATTAAAGCCTCCAGCTTTTCCCGTTCCCGAGTTAGAAGTTTTCCCATAAAAATTTTCACGTGTCCGTGCGTGAGTATCAGACGGCTTTAAGGAGCTGAATCTAAAACTTTTTGGCCATACATAGATAGGGAACATAACCCTAAAGTTTCAGCTTTCTAGCTTTTCCCTTTCCCGGGTTAGT